CCAGCCCCCACCTGCCCCCTGGTCGCACACGGGAGCCTGGATGGCGGCTTGCGCTGTTCTACCCTGCCTGCAGTATGCAAATTAGCCGCCATCTTTGTTGGTGGTTAACCGCCATCTTAGTTGGCAGTTAATTTGCATATTGCTCTGATTAGCCAATGGGAAGCGTAGCAAAGGTACGGTCAATTACCATGTTTGTCTATTATCTGATTAGATAATATTTATATACAATAAATAAATAATAAATATTTGCAATTTGATAAAGAAAATTTTGTGTTCTAAAAACAAGAAACAGCCCTGACTGGTTTGGCTCAGTGGATAGAGCGTCAGCCTGCGGACTCAAGGGTCCCACGCTCGATTCCAGCCAAGGGCATGTACCTTGGTTGCGGGCACATCCTAGTGGGGGGCATGCAGGAGGCAGCTAATCGATGTTTCTCTCTCATCTATGTTTCTAACTCTCTCCCTCTCTCTTCCTCTCTGTAAAAAATCAATAAAATATATTTAAAAAAACAAGATACATTTGCCAAGTTTCCATCTTGGCTTCCCAGTTGTAAGAGAACAGTTTTTGTTTGCATCACTATGAGCCCATGAAATTGGCTCCTCACAACCATGACTAGCTCCTGGATCCTTAGAGATATTTCTTGTGGACACAAAAACTATTTTTAAATTGTTTAAACTTTTAGTCCATGAATATAAAAACAGATGAAAACATAGCTGTATTTAGTGATGACCTAGTGGTTAAATGGGCAAATCAGACTGTACTTAATACTTTACTCATTTTTAGAGACCTTATAATTATCAAGACACCCACACATGGATATTCAAAATTGAGAAGAAAAATATTTCCTTTTTGGCATCCACTTTTAATGACAATTATAAACAAAATTCTCACGCCAAACTATATTTTTTCCCCCAGAAAAATCTAAGTAATTTTCCCTTCAACTTAAACCTTTTTTAAAAGCTTTTTTTTTTTTTCAGCCTGGTACAGTTTTGTTTTTTTTAAGGCCCTTCTGAATTGCAGTAGGTGCTTTTATCTAAATAAATCTGTAACAAATTTTTACAGCCAAAACCAAGTTGATGGCGTGTTCTTCAAATTTAAATGCATAGAAAGATGGCCCCAAAGGGAAATTAGTGAGTGAAATGACTTCTGGCTTCCTTGGGATCTTACCCTCTGGCAGACTGCACTCTATTAATGTTCAAAGTATTCACCCCCTTTCCTCAGGGAGTGATTATCCTCCCCACCCACTGATGTCAGGCTGGGACATGCGACTTGCTGTGGCCAATGAGAAGGGGCTGAAAATGACTCGAGGTACTTGTGAGTGGAATTGTTAAAATCCCACTAGCGCTTCACCCTGTCACTCTGTTCCCTCTGCTTCTTAGGCAGGCAATGTCTGAGATCAGGCTGCTCTGCCAGCCCGGGCCCTGTGGTGAAGATGTGGGGCAGAGCAGGGCAGACCTGCAGGGAATGTGTTGTTAGAGCAAGAGAACAGGACCATAACCCATTGTTGTTACAAGCCATTGAGAGTGTGGGGTACATTTTGCCTTGACCCCACTCAGTCTCAGCTGGCTGACGCACATGTGAACAGGGGTGTGCTCTATTTAAAGGCCCCAAACCTTATTTTAAGAGAATACTCTAATTTCCAGAAACCCAAGTGCTATGAGCAGCCAGCTCCTTTGTGAAGTTTTATATTAGTAAAGTATTTTGTTTTTAAAATAAGAAAACTTATAACTCAAAGTTCTAGTTTCTGAATTTATTGGGGGAAAGAACAAGTCAATTTTCACTCCAGTCAGATTTACCAAAGACTATATACTTTTAGTACTGAGAAGGGGATTGACAGATTTTAAGGTTGTTTTGAAATTGGGAAAATTAATTAAAGCCCTCTGTACCTCTGTATTTCCTACTGCTATAAGCTAAGCAGACCCTGCCCTGTGATGGACTTTACAATGTATAAGAGACCAAATATTAGAGGTTCGTAATAACAGAAGCTCTGATCACAAAAAAACTCAAGTAAAATGAACCAAAAAATCTTAAGTGCAAAATTTTATGCTCCTTTTCTGGGGCCAAGCAGTTATTTTTGGTGTATCTTCACAATTTTCTTTTTTTATAATGTGCTAAGTATAGCACAGTTTTACTTGTGTTAATAACATAGGACTTCTTAAAACCAGAACAATCATAGACATGGGATTTCTCAGTTATTTTTATAGATTTAAGTTTTTCAAAATCTAAAATATTGTTGGTACCAATAATATCACGGTAAAACATATTTTTAAATACAGGGTGGGCAAAAGTAGGTTTACAGTTGTGAGTATGTGAAACAGAGTTTATTCTACTATTATTATTTATTAATTATTGTATTATTTTCCATTAGAACGACTGTAAACCTACTTTTTGCCTCACCCCGCATTTATCTTGAGATGGGAATAGTATTTTTAACGACTACACTCCTGTCATGAAAGTTGCAACCAAGGTAAGATGTCTAAGCTAAAGGCATTTGATATGATGGAAAAAGTTAAAGTTATACATTCTCTAGTGTAATTAAAAATGAGTAGTTGAAAAAGTGATTAGCTGAACAAAATGAGGGGAAAAGGAAATAGGCCATATTTCTATTTCTTCTCCACGCTAGCATATGTATACAAGATCAAGATCTGGTCACATGCCTGTACGGTATAAACAGTAGAGGTGCATCCAGACAGTAAGAGCTCTAAATGAAGTTTTGGAGGAAGCTTTTTTAAAACCATTTTGAATTATATTTTTATGGTACCCATGTTCTGTCTTCTGACATATGGTCAGTGGTATTACTAATTGTACATAAAAATTGTTTGCAAAACTTACTTGCCAAAAAGCAAATATCCTATTGTTATTTAGCCTGAGTTCTTTGATGAAATTTCAAAGGATCCAATTCAGTTTTGTGACAAACAAAGAAGAATAAATGCCCATATCTGGGTTTCAGCAGCACAACTACATTTTTTATTTAGGTTGCTGCTTTGGGGTCTGAGCTATAGCATTATCTATCTTTTGATACTCATGTCATTAAGAAGATATATTCTGCTTACAATAATATATTTAAAGAAAAAATGTTAACTTAAACCCATTATTGGGAAAAATCAATGCTCAATCTCGTTCTTTTGCCAAGTTGAATCAAGACTAACCAATGCTGCCGAAACCGGTTTGGCTCAGTGGATAGAGCGTCGGCCTGCGGACTCAAGGGTCCCAGGTTCGATTCCGGTCATAGGGCATGTGCCTGGGTTGCGGGCACATCCCCAATGGGAGATGTGCAGGAGGCAGCTGATCGATGTTTCTCTCTCATCGATGTTTCTAACTCTCTATTCCTCTCCCTTCCTCTCTGTAAAAAATCAATAAAATATTAAAAAAAAAAGACTAACCAATGCTTCCCTAAATGCTATAGTAATAAAAAAAAACCAACCAATTTCCTTTTATTCAATATATTAAATCAAATGTAAAGCAAAATAAATTTTAGTGAATACTTTCTATTATAAATAAAAATAGCCCATGGTTTCTGGTTAAATTCAATGTTGTATTGTTAAAATGCAAATTATAGGCTATTAAATAGGTATATGGATTTTAGATGGACAACTATGGTTGGAACATCAGGTGGCATTACAGTATACGTGCAATTACATTTTTTCAGTCTTTCAATAAATTACCTCCATGACAAAACTTTTGTAAAATCAAAGGCCCAAAGAGTTGGTATAGTGTAACATAGTGGTTAAATACACAGACTTATGAGCTTGTAGATTTGATTCCAGCTATTAATTATTGAGACAGGAATAGCATGTGAATGTTGGTAAGTTACTTAACATTTCTAAGCCTCATGTGTAAAATGAAGATAACAATATCCATTGCAAAGGTTATTGTCAGGATTAAACAAAATAATCATTACACAATGCTTGATATAGTGCCAACTTGTTGAAATAGATGCTCTCAGTAGATGCTATTACTTTTTAAAGACTAATTATTTTGAAATCACATTTTTTGCAATTACTCATAATTAACTTATTTTATGGACAAAATGTCAATTCCATAGCCATTACCTTTATTGCTGAAATCATCAATTAATACAATTTCTGCTAAATATTTCCTTGGAGTCCTTTTTATGACACTGTGGACTGTTCTCATGAGGGTTGACCATCCTTCATTATGGAAAACAATGATAACGCTGGAAACGAGCAGGTTTTCATCGTAATGCCAATACTTGCACCTGCAAAAGAAAAATTTCATATTTATGTAGAGATAACCTATAATGCTTGGTTCCAAACTTATGATTATGTTTTCTGATTGGAATAAATATGATTGATGTAACTAACGTAAGTGAATAAAATACAACCTTTTACATTTTACAGAAACAAAAGATAGAAGAGAGAAGCTGCTATGAGATGAAATTATTCATAGACAAAGCTACTTCCTAACCAACAAACACTTTTTATGTGATAGACAAGTAATTTGTGAATTTATACTTCTTTGCTGGGATGCTTAAAATAATACTTAAAGATATCAGGTTTTTTTGTTGTTGTTGTTTTTCCATGACTTAGAACTCAGTTTATTTTGCTTTTTAAAATTTGAGCTTCTGGTGCAAGGCATTTATTTCACTTGCTATGAATAAAACTGTGTTTGAAAGCTATCCTATTCTAATATGACTAAACTATTAAGAAAAAAAATTTAAGGCTGAACTGTGGCATGTAGCAAAAATTAACATGAATGAATAAGCAAAGATCTTGTATTGTTTACAGTTATAGATTGGCTAAAGAGGATCTTTGGCTATTCAACACAGAACTATTTGAAACTGTAACAGGATTAAAGTTGCCAGAAACCCTTTTCTAATTGGAAACTCAAAATAGGACTGATAGACTCAAAGAGCCAGCGAAGGCTCGGTGAGTTTCAAAGAAGTGTGATACAGATATGCATACACACATATACTATATCTGTGTGTATACCCTTTGTATATGTATACCCACTTGTTAAATACATTTTGTTTGGTTATGGGGGTGGGGTGGTGGGGGAAGAACAAGATAGTAAGAACAAGACAGACTAACAAGAAGGATTTGAGACGCATGTCCTTTCTGCAGGAGTTAACTTTCAGAATTAGCATTTGAAGCCTATGACCCTTTCCTTGCTAAGTGGGAGCGAAAGCTTTTCCCTCTCCCTCCCTCCCCCAAAGCTTTCCGTGAACCAGTAAATAAGCTTGATCCCAAGGTTAAATTTAAAACCATAAAAGCAATAATTCACTTTATCAGCCTGATAACCCATTCCAGCATTTAGAATAGTAATTGTTACCTAACATACGGCCTGGTCCAAAGTACAGGGAGATAACCTTTTCTCCAGGTGATTGTTACCTTTCAAGATTGTTCTAAACTGGGTTCATAGAGGCTAACTGTCTGGTAATCCATCTGCATTTTTCCATTGAATAAGTGAGTAGTAAGTGCCTATTATACCCATGCTCAGAGCTGGGCACTGGAGCCATAGCTTCGAGGAAGATACTCTTGGTCTGGCTCCCATGAGCCCACCACCCTACAGGGGACACAAGACATGGAGCAAATATTCCCCTGAGTGTGTTGGTGGGAAAACCCCACTTGGCCTCAAGACATGTGGTCAGGAAGGCCTGGAGCTAGTGCTGGAGGGTGAAACCAAAAGGATGATAAAAAAAAAAAAGTACTAAGACCAAAGAAGTGGGAAGGGATTCAGGAGGAAAAGATGAAAGCACAAGAATGACTTGTGTGCATATGATTCAGAAATTATGAGAACTTTAAAATACATAGATGGAAGATTTATATCTTTAGATGGTATAATTAAACTATGAAAAATAAACATAAGGAGGAAAAAATTATAAGGAAGGCATTTGCTGTATAACAGCATATTCTTATTATGTGCCAGGCACTATTCTATTTGCTTTACTTTTATTAACTTATGTAACCTACCACCACCACTCTGAGTTTAGTGCTATCAATCTCCCATTTTACAGATGAGGGAATTGAGGCTCAGAGATAAATGACTTGCATAAGATCACACAGCTAGTAAGTCCTGAAGCCAGGAAATAAACCAAGGCTATATTGAGTTTATAAGAAATCTTGTTAAACATGAACAAGAGAAAAAGAAAAAAAATACTAGCTATACCTACAAAAATATAGAAGTGGAGGAATGCAGATCTTGAAAGAAGATAAAGAGTTTCTGGAGAGACACGAACCTGGGCAGAACAAGGTACGTCTGACTTTTAGATGGGTAGGGATAATAATCCCCACCCCACCAACAAACTGTAATCCATATGGAGCCTCAGGCAACATTTTTCTGATTTTCTGTTGTGAGATGAGGACATTGGGTAGAACACAGAGTAGAGCTTGTCATATACTAAACCTTGATGTTAAGACAGTATGGAAAGAAGCACCCATGGTATTGAGGTAAAACCCCCTATTTTGCATCATTTGTCTCACTTTACTGGCATAGAATTGGTCTTCCTTCTTAGGTTCTAAGAAGGAAGACCAACTGAGAATAGAATGTCACACTTAAATGAATGGGTTTTGGTACAGACTTTTGACTAATTTCGGCTCTCTGGCACCTCATTTTCCAAGAGAGCTTAAAAATCCTCTGACCTCAAGGACAGTAGTGCCTTAGCTTTGCCACAGAGCTCTGGCTGCAAATACCCACACTCAGGTTAAAGGCTTGCAATGATTAAAGCTATAAAGTTATTCCTAAAGTAATTTTACAGAACATTTTCATGGTAGCTATGTGGGCCAGGTGCTTGGGATCAGAAGAAAAGAAGGGGATAAAAAATTTTCATAGTCTTTTCTATAACTTAAAAAAGTAGATTTCAGAACAAAAAATGAAATGCCTGTGAATATTTTACTTGCTTTCTTTCTGTACCAGCTATGTTCTTTAACATCTGTAGTTGGATATAAAGCCTTGTTGTATTTGGCCTTAACAAATAACATTAATTCAGCAGACTATGAAAAACAACATTTTTAGGCTGCAAGTTCCTGCAACCCATATGTACTATCATTAATCTACAGTAACGTGTGTGTGTATGTGTGTGCACGCTTGTGTATTTGTATGTTGAAGTTACTCATCTTGCCCCTTTTAAAGGTTGTATTTTACTCCTTTACTCCCGAGAGTCTCAATAAATAGAGTCATTTGAGATTCTTTCCCTTTAATTTTGCATTAAATTTCCCTATAATAGGGAATATTCTTTAGGGATAGGAAATAATTTCTCAAAAGTTGGGAAACACTCATTTTTTTAAAAAAAAAAAACTACACATTTTTATTTTTAAGCTAGAGGCCCAGTGCACGAAATTCATGCACTTGGTGGGGGGGGTGGTCCCTCAGCCTGGCCTGTGCCTTCTCGCAGTCCAACTGACACTGGGAGTGGTCCTAAGCTGGCAGTTAGACATCCTTAGCACTGCTGCGGGGGCAGGAGAGGCTCCAGACACCACTGCTGCACCTGGCTCAGGGCTTCTGGCTGAGTCGCACTTCCCATGTGGGAATGCACTGACCACCGGGGGGCAGCTCCTGCATTGAGCATCTGCCCCCTGGTGGTCAGTGCACATCATAGTGAACAGTCCTTCTGCTGTTCAGTCAATTTGCATATTAGCCTTTTATTATATAGAATTGAGAATCTTTCCTGTGTTCATATAAAACCCCTTTTACCCATTCCCATTATAAAAGGGAGTGGGAAAATACAATTTACATGAAGCAGTGCTGCACCCAATGAACAAATTGGTAATATAGAATATAAAATTTAATTTGGCATTCAGAAACCAATATATATTTCAATGAAAGGAGAATTACCACTGTTAAACCCATCATTCAAGCTCAACCGATTGAGGGGAGTGGATTTTACCCAAGTAGCAGTTCCTATGTTCTTTGACTGGAATGACACCAAGTAAGCCCCTTGAAAACTTGCTATGGGAGATTTTATTCCTTACAGTTCATTACACATAGCAAAATAAAGAACCTGAGCATCAAAGAAATTTATAAATTAAACTTCCTGATCATCTGGATATGTTCCATTTTGTCAATGTATTTCCCAGAAAAGACTGTTATAATAATTCATAATATTGCCAAATAGGGAAGTATTACAACCCTTAGTCTGGATATCATCCTTTGACTATATAATTTAAAATTACATTGGCACTGTATTTTTTTTTTTTTTGCAACCATATCATATTGCTAGCTCACAAGTCCCTGGAACTTTTCTCCCCAAATTACTATGAAGCCCAATGTTTCTCATTTTTTATTTTTTCAGTTGAACTCAGCATATAATACCATGTTTACATTTATTGTTGGTTTAGGTGCATGTCTAGCAGGTTTTGGTCTTTTGATAATTTTGTCAATTGGTGTATATAACCATCCCTGCCCATTTTTCTGTGTGTTGAAAATTGGATTAGTAAGATTGCTATCTCTGTGTCTACTGTTTATGTGAACAAATATGAGGTCAAATATAGTGCTTTAAAGCTAAGTGTAATCCTTGAGAGGCTGTTATTACTCCACTCACTAACTTCATCTAACTGCACTATCACTGACTGCATTTCTTTACCTGTCCTCAGGGATCTGAAGACTTTACTCAGATATCCTGCTGCATCGAGATGCATTAGGTATCACACGGTCTCCTGGTCCACTAGTGTAAAGCTTATGTCTTTTCTTAGTCACTTAGTTTGGTTTGACTCCTTTTCATAGACCTATGCTGGAATATAGTGGCTGTTACTTCTTCTGTATGTATAAGTGATCCTTCCTAGAATCTTAACAGTGCATCAATATCAAGTTTCCAGAACCAAACGTTCTCTTTCCCCTTTGGAAAATATAAGGCAGTATTTTCCCACCTGCAGTTTCTAAAACCTCTCCTCTTCTCCACAATACCTCTGGATTACTGACGGCACTGCCTCTCACAGTCATCTGGTAAGTTCCTCAATATCTAGTCCTATGAGAGGCTTTAAAGGTCTCAACAAATTTAATGCACTATTACTTTCTTATTCTGTGCTCATTATACTTAAATTTAATTCCCTCTTAGCATGATGGCTATAAAACTTTCAATATGGAGATCACTCCCGCAGAGGGCTAAGAAAACATATCTGTTTTCTCTCATGTGAAAATCATATAATGTGCTCCAATAATCTCCCTACCCTGCTTTTTCTTTACTTTACTCCAAACATCTTTTTTTAAAAATATATTTTATTGATTTTTTACAGAGAGGAAGGGAGAGGGATAGTTAGAAAC